CAAAGCAAACCATCAACAAAATGAAAAGGCAAACTGCTTAGGGCACCTGGGTGGCTCACTGGGTTAAGCCTCTGCCTTTGGCTCAGGTCATGATCTCAGGGTCCTGGGATCGAGCCCCACATCGGGCTCTCTGCTCCACAGGGAGACTTGCTTTCCCCTCTCTGTCTGCCTACTTGTGATCGCTCTCTATGTCAAATAAATAAATAAAATCTTAAAAAAAAAAAAGTCATTTGTATGTCTTCATTGGAGAAGTGTCTGTTCATATCTTCTGCCCATTTTTTGATATGATTATCTGTTTTGTGTGTGTTGAGTTTGAGGAGTTCTTTATAGATCCTGGATATCAACCTTTTGTCTGTACTGTCATTTGCAAGTATCTTCTCCCACTCCGTGGGTTGCCTCTTTGTTTTGTTGACTGTTTCCTTTGCTGTGCAGAAGCTTTTGATTTTGATGAAGTTCCAAAAGTTTATTTTCGCTTTTGTTTCCTTTGCCTTTGGAGACATATCTTGAAAGAAGTTGCTGTGGCTGATATCGAAGAGATTACTGCCTATGTTCTCCTCTAGGATTCTGATGGATTCCTGTCTCACGTTGAGGTCTTTTATCCATTTTGAGTTTATCTTTGTGTACGGTGTAAGAGAACGGTCAAGTTTCATTCTTCTACATATAGCTACCCAGTTTTCCCAGCACCATTTATTGAAGAGACTGTCTTTTTTCCACTGTATATTTTTTCCTGTTTTGTCAAAGATTATTTGACCAAAATTAGCAAGACAGGAAACAACATGTGTTGGAGGGGATGTGGAGAAAGGGGAACCCTCTTACACTGTTGGTGGGAATGCAAGTTGGTGCAGCCATTTTGCAGAACAGTGTGGAGATTCCTCAAGAAATTAAAAATAGAGCTTCCCTATGACCCTGCAATTGCACTACTGGGTATTTACCCCAAAGATACAGATGTAGTGAAAAGAAGGGCCATCTGTACCCCAATGTTTATAGCAGCAATGGCCACGGTCGCCAAACTGTGGAAAGAACCAAGATGCCTTTCTACGGACGAATGGATAAGGAAGATGTGGTCCATATACACTATGGAGTATTATGCCTCCATCAGAAAGGATGAATACCCAACTTTTGTAGCAACATGGACGGGACTGGAAGAGATTATGCTGAGTGAAATAAGTCAAGCAGAGAAAGTCAATTATCATATGGTTTCACTTATTTGTGGATCATAACAAATAGCATGGAGGACAAGGGGAGTTAGAGAGGAGAAGAGAGTTGGGGGAAATTGGAAGGGGAGGTGAACCATGAGAGACTATGGACTCTGAAAAAACAATCTGAGGGGTTTGAAGCAGTGGGGGGTGGGAGGTTGGGGGAACCAGGTGGTGGGTATTAGAGGGGGCATGGATTGCATGGAGCACTGGGTGTGGTGTAAAAACAATGAATACTGTTATGCTAAGTAAATAAATAAATAAATGGCAAACTACCAAAAGAAAGAAAATATTAGCAAATCATATTCTAATACTCAAAATACATAAAAACTCCTATGATTCAAGAGCAAATAAGCAATCCAGTTAAAAAAGGACAGAGAGGGATGCCTGGGTGGCTCAGTGGGTAAAGCCTCTGCCTTCGGCTCAGGTCATGATCCCAGGGTCCTGGGATCGAGCCCCGCATCGGGCTCTCTGCTCGGCGGGGAGCCTGCTTCCCTTCCTCTCTCTCTGCCTGCCTTTCTGCCTGCTTATGATCTCTTGTCTTTCAAATAAATAAATTAAAAAACTCTTAAAAAAAAAAAAGGGCAGAGATACGGTAAGTGCTGTGAAGTGTGTAAGCCTGATGATTCAGAGACCTGTACCCCTGGGGCAAATAATACATTGTATGTTAATAAAAATAATTAATAAATTAAAAATGCATTTTAAAAAAGGGGTAGAGGATCTGAGCAGACATTTTTCCAAAAGACATTCAGGCCAACAGATGCATGAAAAGGGGTTCAACATCATTAATCATCAAGCAAACACAAATCGAAACCACAATGAGACCTGTTAGAATGGCTATCACCAAAAGCCAAGGTAACAAATGCGTGAGGATGTGGAGAAAAGGGAACCTTTGTGCACTGTTGGTGGGAATCCAAACTGGTGCACCCACTCTGGAAAACAATATGGAAGTTCCTCAAAAAATTAAAAATGGAAATACCATGTGACCTACCAATTCCACTTTAAGGTATTTATCCAAAGAAAATAAAAACACTAATTCAAGAAGACATATGCACCCCTATCTTCAGTGCATTATTCCTAATGGCCAAGATATGGAAACTAAGTGTCCGTCAATGGATTAATAAAGAAAAATGTGGTATATAGACATAATGGAATATTATTCAGCCATAAAAAAGAATGAAACCTTGCTATGTGCAACATGGATGGACCCTGAGAGTATTATGCTAAGTGAACAAGTCAGAGAAAGACAGACAGCATATAATCTCATTTATATGTGAAATCTTAAAAAAATAAAACAAAAAACAAAAATCAAGCTCACATATACAAAGAACAGACTGGTGGTTGCCAGAGGCAGGGGGCAGTAGGAAGGCAAAATGGGTGCAGGGAGTCAAAAGGTACAAATTTCCAATTATAAAATAAATAAGTCATGGGATATAATGCACAGCATGGTATCTATAATTAATAATACTGTATTGTACATCTGAAAGTTGCTAAGAGAGTAAATTTTAAAAGATCTCATCATAAGAAAAAAGTATGCAACTATGTATGGTGACAGATGTTAACTAGGCTTATGTGATGATTATTTTGTAATATATACAAACATGAAACAAACGTGTTGTATACCTAAAACTAATATAATGTTGTATGTCAATTAAACCTCAATTTAAAAACAAAGTGTTGCGGCACCTGGGTGGCTCAAGTAAGTTAAGTGTTTGCCTTTGGCTCAGGTCATGATCCCAGGGTCCTGGTATCAAGCCCTGCATCTGGCTTCTTGTTCATCAGGGAACCTCTTTTCCCTCTGCCCCTCCCCCTGCTCAAGCTCACTCTCTTTCACTCTCTCAAATAAAAATCTTTTTTAAAAAAAAGTGTTGGTGAGGATATAGAGAAAGGATAACACTTGTGCACTGCTGGTGGGAATATAAACTGGCACAGTCACTGTGGAAACAGTATGAAGCTTCCTCAAAAAAATTAAGAATAGTACTACCATACAATTCAGCAATTCCACGTCTGGGTATTTATCCAAAGGAAATGAAAACATTAACTCCAAAAGATATGTAACCCCCATATTCTTTATGGCATTACTTACAACAGTCAAGACATGGAAACAACCTAAGAGTCTACTGGTAGATGAATTGATAAAAGATATGTGGGGTGTGTGTGCGTATTTCTAAAAAGAAAATGAATTAAACAAGTTTTAACACTTAATGATTAAATTAAAACAAAACAAATCCTATCTAGAAAATTAATAAAAATTATTCAAAATAAGAATGGTTAATGCTATCAATCACAGGTTATAATAGAAACTCTCAGGGCTCCTGGGTGGTTCAGTTGATTGAGCATCCAACTCTTGATCTAGGCTCAGGTCATGACCTCAGGGTCGTGAGACTGAGTCCCAACTTGGCTCCACAATGGGTGTGGAGCCTGCTTAAGATTCTCTCCCCTTTCCTCTCCTTTTGCCCCTCCCCCACCTCCACTTAGGCAAACACGCACACATGCGTGCTCTCTCTCTCTCTCACTAAAACAAACAAAACCCAGAAACTCTTATATATCTGTCATGAATGAAAATCACTACCTCCTTTTGAGTAAGTACTTCAGCAACAGGCATAATGAATACTACAAATATTTATTCTTCTTGACTCAATAACTCTACTTGTGGAAATCTAGTCTAAGACCTACATCAGAATACAAAGCTTTCTCTGCACTCCTATTTCATAAAAACAAAAAAACTGAAAAAAAAAAACTGGAAACATAATGCATAACAATAAAAACTGTTTAAGTGTATTACAGCATCCTCATGTCATGAAATATTTTGCAACCATTTTAAATGATACTCAGTTATTAGTAATTTGTCAAAATCTTTCTTATTATCTTAAATAAAAAGGAAAAACAAAATTACATGTTTTGTATGGTATGAATGCAATAATATAAAAACAAGTGTAGAAAAAAATGCTGGGAAGTATACCAACAAGTGATTGTCACTCAAGAATAAGACAAAGCAGATTTTATATTTTTCAAATTTTTATATTTAAAGTAACAAACCAGGGGTGCCTGAGTGGCTCAGTCGGTTAAGTGTCCAACTCTTGATTTTGGCTTAGGACATGATCTCAGGGTTATGAGATCAAGTCCCAGGCTGTGTGTGTGTGTGGAGCCTGCTTATGATTTTCTCTCTCTCTCCACCCCCTCTTCAAACAAAACAAAACACATTTTACTTCTATTAAAGTAAAGCTTAATTGTATTCCATTTAAAAAAAAAAAGGCCTCATATCCAAACATACCCCTTTCTCAGCCAAATACCAAATAGTGGGTAAGTTTGCAATCATCAGGCCAGAGAAACTGGAATTGCTGGGAGCAGTCCAGGATGAAGAGTTTGCCCAGGAAAAGATGCCCAGAAGGACACCCATTTCTGTGTTCAGAGTCCTAGGAAGCTCCCTGGGGACAGAAGGAAGAGGCAGAGGCCAGAGGTGAGGCAGAGACATGAGGGTTCATGGACAGAGATCATGAAGACTAAGTGTAGGCATCAGTAGCCCAGACAAAAAGACTGAGGAACAAGGTTTCAGAGAGTCACTGGAATAGCTTCCCACTGCACCAGATTCAGTCTCAATGTGGACAGTTAGCATCACAAGTGGTGGTGCTGAGCATCCTTCCTCCAAGCCAGAGTCAGGCCTCTCACCCAGTCACTGTCGAAAGACCAATTTTGTGACCCTGCTTCTTATGCCACCCAATATTTTCAGCCTGAGGTACAATTCAGGTGGTCCACAAACCAAAGAGCCCCTATAGAAATGAAAATACAAAACATGAAACTCACCAGTCAAAGCCAAAGTATTCATTTGAAGTTTCTATCCACACAAACAGCAAAATCAAAGACAGCAAAAATGAAGTAATCAGAAATGGGTAAAATAACTTCTCTCTCTGGGAAAAGAAAGAAAAAAGTATAAATTAGTTCCATGTATCCATGTTACCTCAGCAGTGTCTGTATACACTTGTCAAAGTTCTGCAGAGTTGCAATGCCATGCATTATCCTCAGGAGGCTGGAGTGACCACTGTAGTCTCTTTACCCCTATGGAATTTTGTATAAGCCTATTTAGAACATGTATTACACTTAACTGCAATTACATGTTTATCTGTTTGTATTCAGTGAGACAGTTTCTTCTCTGAGGAATAGGAACTTCAGTTACACACCTCCATCCTGCCAATGTCTAGCGGTTTCCAGTTTCTTTTTTTTACTACTTAAAAACTTATTTGTATTGATTTTAATTTTATTTTTTCAGTGTTCCAAGATTCATTATTTATGCACCACACCCAGCGCTCCATGCAATATGTGCCCTCCTTAATACCCACCACCAGGCTCACCCAACCCCCCATCCCCTTCCCTCTAAAACCTTCAGTTTCTTTCTCAGAGTCCACAGTCTCTCATGGTTTGTCTCCCCCTCCAATTTCCCCCAATTCACTTTTCCTTTCCTTCTCCTAATGTCCTCAGTGTTATTCCTTATGCTCCACAAGTAAGTGAAACCATATGATAATTGACTTTCTCTGCTTGACTTATTTCACTCAGCATTGAGATACCACCTCACACCAGTTAGAATGGCCAAAATCAAGAAGACAGTAAACGACGTGTGTTGGAGAGAATGTAGAGAAAGGGGAACCCTCTTACACTGTTGGGAATGCAAGTTGGTGCAGCCACTTTGGAAAACAGTGTGGAGATTCCTTAAGAAATTAAAAATAGAGCTACCCTATGACTCTAGCACAGTTTTTTTTTTTTCTTTTCTAGCACAGTTTCTTAAATGCAGCTGGCTCTTAACAATCATCTGCTGCTTTCATCCTCCCCTCCATCTACCAAACATTTGTTTGCTGACTCATTCATTGAGTAATTCATTCAATCATCACTCACTGGTTCATTTAGTCACTAACCTACCCAAATTTGGGGGACAGGGGACAGGTTAGGGAATAAAGCTTTTTTTTTTTTTTTTTTGAGTAGTTATCTTGTGCCAATACAATGCTAGAAATTTCATAAACTATCTTCATTTGATTTCTTTTTCAATATGGCCATATAAGTTAGGTATTCTTAACCTTATTTTGCAGAAGAACTAAAGCTCAGAGAGGTAAAGTAATTGGCTCAAGGTCACACAACCAAGAAGTGGCAGGGACACTGCCCAGAGCTCTGAGCCTAAAGCCAAGGTGGAGGATATCTTTACAGAGGAGGTGTTCAAACAGCCCTGAAGACAACCCCCTTCACTGAAAGTCACATCATAAACCAGTCATACCAGAGATTGCCAAATCCTTCCTGGGAATGTTAGGTTTGGGTTGCTATCTGAGTTATAATTTTAACACTTCCTTATCACCTGAAAAAGAATTCTGCCTCTTTGGGACACTACATTTAATCAGTTGACACTGGACAGAATAATCCCTGCCCTGTCTAAATTATGGCATTACTGTGAAAGCAAAAACAAAGAAATAAAATGAAAAATGTAGAAACTGTGTTCTAAAAAGATGAGAGACATTACAGCTATCAGGATGCACTTTCTGAGTGTAGGAGGGTGAAGAACACAGGATCTTTGACTCAGATCTTACACTCTACAATATCTTACGTGGACTTTTAAAAATGTATCAGACAGAGGCACCTGGGTGGCTCGATGGGTTAAAGCCTCTGCCTTCAACTCAGGTCGTGATCCCAGGGTCCTGGGATCAAGCCCAATCTCGGGCTCTCTGCTTAGTGGGGAGCCTGCTTCCACCTCTCTCTCTCTGCCTGCCTCTCTGCCTGCTTGTGATCTCCGTCAAATAAATAAATAAAATCTTTAAAAAAAAAAAAAACTATGAAATAATGTCATTACCCTGCTCAAAATCCTGCCAGAGCTTCCTATTGTACTAAGGTACCAACAAACTGCCTGCCATGGCAACAAGGCCCTCCATGATCAACCCCTGTCCATCCCTGACCTCATCCCATCCTACACACTCCATTTCTAAATGCCAGCCACACTGGCCTTCTTTTTGTTTCTAGAATATAACCGAATTTGCTTCCACCTCAAAACCTTTGTACTGTCTGGTGCCTCTGTCTGGAATACTTTTGCCCCAGATGTACATATGGCTGACTCTACCTCTCCATTTAGGAGACCGTTCACATGACACTTTTTCGAAGAGGTCTTCTCCAACCACTCTCCCATCCCAGGTTCTAACACCGTTTCCTGTTTATTATCTTCAAAGCTCTTATCACAATCTGAAATAATCTTTCTTCATTTACTGTCTACTAACTAACTCATCCCACTAGATTATAATCTGCAGGAGGGCTGAGGCCTTAATTGTCTTAATTCACTGTGGCACATAGTAAGTGTTCCAATGGATGAATAAATCCATTTCCTTATTTTGATTCTCATTGTTACCATTCTTGCTCAAGCATTTTCAAAGGCTCCTTACTATTTACAAGAGAAAATTCAAATACTTTAACTTGACACAAAGATGTTTCATAATTTGATCAAAATATTCCTTTCCACCCTACTACTTACCATCATTTCACATGTCTCTACTTCAACACTGGAAATTTGTTTTTCCTAAGCACACTACTGTGCTTCTCTGTCCCTTGACTTCTAACTACCTCATTCCCTCTACCCACAATCCCTTGTACCCATATTTCTGTATGTGAAAGATCACTTCTGCAAGTCAGTCACTCCAAGAAGAGTAATAAAATAGCTAACATTTATTGGAGGTTAATTGTGTGACAAGCACAATTCTAAGTGTCTTCAACATATTATCTCTTCCATCCCCACAACAAATCCTATTCATGGTTACTACTATTCCACCTCCATTATTCTAATAAGGCATGTAAAGCACCAGATGTTAAGTTACTTGCCCAAGGTAACACAGTGGTAAAGCTCTAATTTGGAGATAGTCCAGGGTAAAGCCATAAATTGAATCTAGGTAGTCTTTTCCCAAAACACAAGATCTTAGTTCTTATCCTCCTTTCCCTCAGCAGAAATGAGGCCTTGAGAATTATCTAGGAACCTTAGGAATTATCTAGTTAAATTCCCTAACTGTAGAGAGGCTGGGAGATCTCACATAACCAGTCCAAGGGCAGAGTGGAATATAGTATCCAAACAGGCTCTAGTCCAGGAATTTTTCCATAATACCACACTGACTCAAATATCACCCTGCGCACGAAGCCTCCCTTTTCCTTCTCTCATTTCTAGTAAGTATCTGTTGAATCAATTCACTCTTCTCCATCTTTACCATCACTACTCTAATCCAGACCACCAACATCTCTTACCTTATATACTGCTATCACTTTCTCTTTGAAGGCAAAGATGTCTCCCTCCCTGTTTCATACCTTCCAATGCATCCTCCACATGATCAAATAATCATTCCAAAACACAGATCAGGCAACATCTGTTTACCATCTTTAGGGACTCTTTATGTCCTACATGGCAGAGATCAAATTTTTAAAACCAAATAACACTGGTCCCATCTCCCTCTCTAGCTTTGTTTCCCATCGCTTTGCCATTTGTATCCTCTGTTCAACTTAAGGTAAACCTTATACCTGACTCCTCCAAAATGATTTCTTCTGCCATCCCCTAATCCTTACCTACCCAATTCTTAATCACCTTTCACCTTCTATATGAAGTATTTTCAACCCTTCTCTTGGCACATGGAGGCATGTATGCATATACACATACACACATAAATACTCTCAGTATTTTAAGACTGCATTGTGCTTGTCTCTTCCACCAAGTGACTATGAACTGCTTGAAAGCAGGAATCATATCAAAGCCATTTGTTATTCCCAGTCACTAGTATATAAACTAGTCCTTATCAGCTATAGGTGGGTAGAATAACTAGGAAGGTAAGATATAGGAGACAGAAGAACATTTCTCCTAATCTAGGAAAACCTCCCATTTCTACCCCTTTTCCTGTGTTTCCCATCGTAGGCATAAGAAACTAGTGATCTAACTGGTCAGAATCTCAGAGCCTGGTTGGACTGCGTTTATAAGTACATGAAGTTTCAGGATATGGCCCTCCTCTTATCCCTTCAGTGTGCTCATCATTTGGTCTTTTATATCAAACAGCCCACCAGAGAATCCCAACATATAACCAAGAGTTTAAAGTAAGAGGCCCTCAATAAGGCTAGGCCACATGCCACCACTCAGTCTTACTAAAGTTTTTCATTAGGGAAAATCAAGCATTAGCCTGACCAATAATAAAGGAATACCTTGTTTCCCACTTGCTGTTATTTTCCTCATAAACACAGCTCTTTAGGAAACTTACAATGAAGAGAGAATTAAAGATTCAGGCATTCTTGTAATTCCTAGTCAAAAACATGACTAAAAGAGGTAGTTTAAAAAAAAAAAAAAAAAAGGAGAAGCAAATGAAAGTGAAAGAAGATGAGGAAAACAAGCATGTGTTTCTGTAAGGTTAACTCTGGCTCCAGAACTGCAGTAGGCTTTTCATCAAAGAACTAGAGCCCTACCATGCCCAGTCCTGGAGACTCTAATGAGCTCTCACGGGCAGAGACCAGCCCACGTTCCCCACATCTGAGAAAGTATGGTCCAACTCCTTCCCATGTCTCTATACCCAAGAGCAGCAGCAGGGTCCAGGTAAAGACTTTTTCTCCTGCTTGACCTGCCACTCGCAGGTGTAGCAACCAGTAATCAAGGTGATATAGCATTGTCGGTTGCAGCCACATAGGATCCATGGATAATGCCTTTTCACTCTTCTCTGGCTCCCAGGCTCAATCCTGTTGCCCTTAAGCATGGTGCACCTTTTTGCTGAAATGACAAATAAAATTATTAGGATCTAAAAGCTCCTTCAAAAGTTTCCTACCTCACTGCCCTACAGAAAATTCCATCAAAAAAAGATAGATTTTAAAGTTTATAATCTAGGATAATGCACTGGATTCAGTGGATGAGTAGAGCTTCACCCCCCTTTTCCACTAACTTGTTTAGTATTTACTGCAGTCATGCACCATTCAAGGTTTAGTTTTCTTACCTCTAAAATGGGATCATATTGTCTGCCCTAGGCAACTAATAAATGGGGAAAGCATTAGATAATATATACAAATTATAATTAGATAATATATACAAATGTGTTTTTTCAACTATAATGTGCTCTTGAAATAACCTGAGAGCTTAAGAGGCATGGGTGAGGTATGAGAAAAATATAATCATTGACTAAGAAGTGACTCAGATATATATCTGCCTGCCCCATCACTTATGCTCCTCTCTCATTGGAATTAGTTAGGGTTAGCCTCAATTTAAATGATGGAATTTTCAAAATAGCAATGGCTGAAATAAGACGTTTGTTTTTTCTTTTGCCAACAAAAATATTTAAAAAATTATGTAGTACGTGGCTTCACAATGTCATTAAGAACCCAGACATCTTCCATCTTCCTGTTCCACGGCAGCACAGGGCTTCCTTCTCAGGGTCCAAAATGGCTGCCCCTTGAGCTGCATCTATCATTCTAAATTCCAACAAGGATAAAGAAAGAACAAAGAAGGATGTTCCCCCTTACTTTAAGGACACTCAAAGAAGTTGAACATTACATTTTATTGACAGACAAGGGTTTTTCTTACTAGGGAAAGAAGAAAGAAAGAAACAAACAAACAAACAGAAAGAAACAAAGAAACAAAGAGAAACAAAGAAAGAAACAAAGAAAGAGGGAGGGAGAGAGGGAGGGACATATTAAGCTATATCTAGCTGTTACTACTGAATTTTCTCACCCTACTTTAATAGGACACTTTCAGACAAAATTCGTGTGGAATTAGGGGAAGAAAACAAAAACAAAAACCCCTAAGTATTTAAGAATAAACAAACAAGAAGTCTTAAAGGGCCTGATCCCAGGCGCGGTCTCTACCCCTGAAAACCTTCTGTTGTGCTCCACTCTGTTTTTCTGTGAAAGGTAGTGCTGTAGTTCAGAGTGCATAGTCTCAACATAGACTTCTGGCAAAAAATGTGAGTAACAGGGACTGGAGTAACCTTCCCAGCTTAAGTGACTAAAAAACCTGGGGAAAATATGAAAGAAAGGTTTTCACACAGTGGACAATAGGCAGTGAAGGATAGCAATCTTTGAGAGAGAAGAAACAAAGGAAGTGAGTATTGTAAATGCAATTTGGATACAGTTTCCAGGATGAAGCCCTGGGAGTGAGATTGTAGGTGGATCCTGGCAGTATCCCTGAACTGAGCAGACAGAAACTGAGCAGACAGAAGGGAAGGAAAAGTACCTCCCTCCATGTCTTTCCAAGTCTCCAGCTGAATACTAATCAGTACATGCTTGTGAAGAAATTATCTGATGTTAGAAAAAGAATCACACAAAACGAGGTGGTTAGACATTTAGAGCTCATAAAAGGCTGGGAATAGTTGGTGTTTCCTCCAGAGCAGAAAAACCTTATAATACATAGGCACTTGGAAGCTTACTCAGAAGGGTATTGCCTCAATAGTGGAAAAAAAAATTAGGCCTACATTAAAGGCTACTACTAAGGACAATGGCCTAGCCAAAGGAAGCTTAAAAATGAGATTCAAGGGCGCCTGGGTGGCTCAGTTGGTTAAGCATCTGCCTTCAGCTCAGGTCATGATCCCAGAGTCCTGGGCTTGAGTCCCACATTGGGCTCCCTGCTCAGCAGGAAGCCTGCTTCTCTGTCCCTCCCCTGGCTCATTCTCTCACTCTCTCCCAAATAAATAAATAAGTTTAAAAAATGAGCTGCAAGATAATCAAAATGTTTCCAAATAACTTGACTCTGTTCTGAAACAAAGATCAGAATAAAAACCAACCAACCAAACAAACAACAACAACAACAACAACAAAAATACAAGAGAAGTAGCCAACAAAACAAAATTCTCAATGCCTAATATACAATCAAAAATTACCAGGAACATAAAAAAGAGAATGCACCTATATGGAGGGAAAAAACTATCAATCAACAACTCAGAAATGTCTCAGGTGATATAATTAGCAGGGAAGGACACCAAACATTTTTACAATTGTCTTCAGTACGTTGAAGACAGTAGAAGAAAATAAGCATGTTAAGGAGAGACATGGAAGGTATTTTTAAAATATGTAAACTGGGGGTGCCTGGGTGGCTCAGTGGGTTAAGCCTCTGTCTTCAGCTCAGGTCATGATCTCAGGGTCCTGGGATCAAGCCCTGCATCGGGCTCTCTGCTTGGCAGGGAGCCTGCTTCCCCCTCTCTCTCTGCCTGCCTCTCTGCCTACTTGTAATCTCTCTCTGTCAAATAAATGAATAAAATCTTTTAGAGAACTTGAGAATTTTTTTTTAAATGAAGAGATCAACTGTGAGCTACACAATAACTATAAGCAATCTAATATAAACATGCCTGGAATCCCTAAAAGGGGGGGGGGGAGAAAGGGATAAACACAATATCTGAAAAATTAATGGCCAAAATGTTTCCAAATATGATGAAAACTATAAACCTACAGAGCTAAGAAGCACACCAAATCCCAAGGAAAAGTACACACAACAAACTATAAGACACATCATAGTCAAGATGCTTAAAAACACTAGTAAAGAGAAAATCTCACCACCAGCCAGAGAGGAAAGGCATATTACATGTGGAATAAAGAGGACTTCTTGACATTTTTTTCAACAAAAATAATTTGTTGAAAACAATACAAGCCAAAAGACAGTGGAGCAACATCTTTAAGGAACTGAATAAAACACATTTAGCTAGAATTCAGCACTCATAATGAACAGTGTTAAAAAATGAAAGTGGGAAAACCCAAAAGACTCCACTCCAAAACTGCTAGAACTTGTACAGGAATTCAGTAAAGTGTCAGGATATAAAATCAATGCACAGAAATCAGTTGCATTTCTCTACACCAACAACAAGACAGAAGAAAGAGAAATTAAGGAGTCCATCCCATTTACAATTGCACCCAAAACTATAAGATACCTAGGAATAAACCTAACCAAAGAGACTAAGAATCTATACACAGAAAACTATAAAGTACTCATGAAAGACATTGAGGAAGACACAAAGAAATGGAAAAATGTTCCATGCTCCTGGATTGGAAGAATAAATATTGTGAAAATGTCTATGCTACCTAAAGCAATCTACACATTTAATGCAATTCCTATCAAAGTACCACCCATTTTTTTCAAAGAAATGGAACAAATAATCCTAAAATTTATATGGAACCAGAAAAGACCTCGAATAGCCAAAGCAATATTGAAAAAGAAAGCCAAAGTCGGTGGCATCACAATTCCGGACTTCAAGCTCTATTACAAAGCTGTCATCATCAAGACAGCATGGTACTGGCACAAAAACAGACACATAGATCAACGGAACAGAATAGAGAGCCCAGAAATAGACCCTCAACTCTATGGTCAACTAATCTTCGACAAAGCAGGAAAGAATGTCCAATGGATAAAAGACAGCCTCTTCAATAAATGGTGTTGGGAAAATTGGACAGCCACATGCAGAAAAATGAAATTGGATCATTTCCTTACACCACACACGAAAATAGACTCAAAATGGATGAAGGACCTCAATGTGAGAAGGGAATCCATCCAAATCCTTGAGGAGAACACAGGCAGCAACCTCTTCGACTTCAGCCGCAGCAACATCTTCCTAGGAACATCGCCAAAGGCAAGGGAAGCAAGGGCAAAAATGAACTATTGGGATTTTATCAAGATCAAAAGCTTTTGCACAGCAAAGGAAACCGTTAACAAAACCAAAAGACAACTGACAGAATGGGAGAAGATATTTGCACATGACATATCAGATAAAGGGCTAGTGTCCAAAATCTATAAAGAACTTAGCAAACTCAACACCCAAAGAACAAATAATCCAATCAAGAAATGGGCAGAGGACATGAACAGACATTTCTGCAAAGAAGACATCCAGATGGCCAACAGACACATGAAAAAGTGCTCCATATCACTCGGCATCAGGGAAATACAAATCAAAACCACAATGAGATATCACCTCACACCAGTCAGAATGGCTAAAATTAACAAGTCAGGAAATGACAGATGCTGGCGAGGATGCGGAGAAAGGGGATGAATCCTCCTACACTGTTGGTGGGAATGCAAGCTGGTGCAACCACTCTGGAAAACAGCATGGAGGTTCCTCAAAATGCTGAAAATAGAACTACCCTATGACCCGGCAATTGCACTGCTGGTTATTTACCCTAAAGATACAAACGTAGTGATCCGAAGGGGCACGTGCACCCGAATGTTTATAGCAGCAATGTCTACAATAGACAAACTATGGAAAGAACCTAGATGTCCATCAACAGACGAATGGATAAAGAAGATGTGGTATATATACACAATGGAATACTATGCAGCCATCAAAAGAAATGAAATCTTGCCATTTGCGACGACGTGGATGGAACTAGAGGGTATCATGCTTGGCGAAATAAGTCAATCGGAGAAAGACAACTATCATATGATCTCCCTGATATGAGGGAGAGGAGATGCAACATGGGGGGTTAAGGGGGTAGGAGAAGAGTAAATGAAACAAGATGGGATTGGGAGGGAGACAAACCATAAGTGACTCTTAATCTCACAAAACAAACTGAGGGTTGATGGGGGGAGGGGGGGTGGGAGAGGGGGGTGGGATTATGGACATTGGGGAGGGTATGTGCTATGGTGAGTGCTGTGAAGTGTGTCAACCTGGCGATTCACAGACCTGTACCCCTGGGGATAAAAATATATTATATGTTTATAAAAAATAAAATTTAATTTAAAAAAAAATGAAAGTGAAAGGGCACCTGGTTGGCTCAGTTGGTTAAGCGT